CATTTTGAAATGATTTCTGAGGTCTCAAGGTTGGCAGGTATGGTTGTTACCTGTTAGTCACCACTCGAAAACGCCAGAAATACGACTGGTTATATAATTGAATCTGCTATTTCAGAAGAAAAGAGGTGCAGATGTTCCAATAATGGAGGGAAAAATAGGACAAAGCCGTCGAGTGGGTTGGATAATGACTCGCTTTTGTTTCTTTTGAATAATTTTTGATTGGATGAAACTCTTGTTGAGAAATCAATAAATGTTACATTTAAAAAGACATGGGCAAAGAGAGGTTTGATGGAAGAGAGACAGAGATAGAAAAGTAGAATAACGAAAGAAAAAGTCTTGTGTATACTGCCTCACTCGGAAAGATACATGATTTAGGGACTTCCCTTTTCTCCGTGTGTGTTTGTTTGTTACGTGTACGTCCATTACAGCTTGCGTGATCGACCTACTCAAAGCTACACACAAATCCCAATCACACACACAATTCATAGGAGCTGTTTGCTTTCCCGGCTCGTTCTCTTCCTATGCCTACTTTGTTTTCCACACAGTAAATGAGAGCAAGGCACAGGAGGAAGAGGAGGATGAAAAAAAAGAGGAAGAAAACAGTGTGACTTTACTAAGACTTTGGGTAGAAAGAAAAGACAGTACCACACTAAGAGGAGGTTTCAGGTCACTCAAATGTAAGCCAATTAAAAAGGTGACAGATAACAAACAGTCTCAGCTTGCAGCAATATTAAAAATACTGCTTCTGAAAATAATTCATAAAACACATTTCTGGCCGTCGATCATCCGAAAGAATTAGAAAATCCCATGCACATGACAAAAAAACAAACGATGAGTCATACCAGCCTTTAAACAGCAAGTTGAACTGTGGTGAATTTTGACAAATGGTTAGCCAGAAAAACAAAAATAGAAGGCTGTCGTGGCTTATTAGCGGTCTGACAGCTCAACAAAAGAGAAATGGTCACTTTAAAATGTTTATCACGGTTGCTAACTACGCCTTTTTGCCAGTTCTCCTTTCTATCCACTTCTGGCTGTCGGTTAGCAAGCTCATTAGCTTGTTCTCAGCTAGCTGCTAACACAGCACCCTCTTAAATAGCTACAATTATATACAATACTAATAAAAGGTGGGAGTAAACAGAGATCAAATAAAAAAAACTCAGAGAAGTTTGTTGCGTTTAACTAGCAGTTAGCTTGTTTCTAACTGGCTAGTGTGTTAGCGGTAAGCTAGCCGGCTATAGTTATTTACAAGCTATGCATGATTAGCTGTGAATGTCTGATTGGTGGACATAAGCTAATGGGCTTTGTCCTTTTAAAAAATGCATCTGAAAGTCCATGGCTGTAAATGTAACATGCTATCTGGATGCTAATTGATGCTAAGTATTAGTCCTAAAATAGATTCAGTAAACAAATATGCTCAAAACATGTCTAACTTTCCCGAAATGATGCGTCATTGTATTGATTAACAATACTGAAACTAGAAACTGTGCTTTGTTCAACTCCAATAGAAGCGTCATATAACCGCATGTTAATGTGTGCAATCGATTGGCTGTTATTCTATATGTGAGTCCTTTGTGTTTAAGGCAAGAGGAACAAAAAAACACACTAGTACTTCGAACCTTTAGAAGGACCCAAAAACGAAATGTTAAAACTATTATAATGAACAGATATAGAGAACGGGATGTGTGCAGTCTATTAATATCAAGTTTACCTATTACAGGGACCTTTTGCACTCTCACTTCTTAGAATAGTTATAGTTGGTGAGAAAATTGTTTCAATAACTAAAATTAGAAACCGACTTCCTTATTCGAATGTGATCCGAGAACCTAAACACTGCTCTGAAACCGGATGTTCTAGTATCTGCTGTTTATCTGTTAAAAAAGGCATTTAAAACGTTTTAACAACTTTAAAGAACATGTGCATCAATGTTTTTTTGTCATCTGTGCTTTTTAATGCAATTATATTTCAACAGCATTTAGTAGCGAGGCAGACAGGATATGTGAGAGTGGAAAGGATATGAGATGAGACATGTGGTTTACAAGGTACATGACATAAAAACAAGTGTTACGCCTTAAGAGCATTTCTTATAACGGACAAGAAACGTTTGGTTTTGACTCTGCAATCAAAAAAATAAACGAGTCATTCACGTTTTAACACCTCAGATCAAGAAATGTTAATGCTTCTCACAGAAGACATCAAAACAAGAACACACACTTACATCAAATCAATCTCAATTAGTCCTGAAAATCCCATCCGGTCTTAAAGTCTACATGCTGGAGTGTACAGAGTCAGACAATTAAATCTCCAAGGTCACATTCACTTTGATTACAGACTATAAAACACCAGCTACAAAACATTTATGGTGTGAGCATTTGCTTCTTTCACTCACATGCCAGGGTAAGGCTGATGATTGTAATGTTGGTTCCTGCAGGCTAACAATGACACAGCAAAATCATAGAGAAGTTTCATGACCTTGTGCAGAAAGATATCCATTCAAAACATCCCCAAAATAAATATTTAGGCGGAAATTATGGCTTTTTTATCCTCAAGGGGACTTCAAAGAGTCTCTTCTGGTATCCTTGGTATCATAAAGCTTGTTTCCGTACTCAAAGATATTTAATTACAGTCAACACAAGTGTTTCCAGAGTGACACCGAAATGACACGCTTAATTATTCAGGGATTTACGGAAGAGGGACTGAGTTAATCCCAGTAGTATCAGGATGTCATGTCACAGTTGATAAGAATTAGCACCTTCTCAATAATAGAAAGCCACGATATTATAACGTACGGCAACAGGCGAGGGACAAAATACAACAACGCATGAAAGGGAGACGCTGTTAAGCACTACACACACAAAAGATACAACCTAAACTACGCCCCTTCTCGTACACACACGCTAACAAACAAAGGGATACACAAACACACTAATCTGCTCAGGCCATTGTTGTCACTACAGGGTAATCCAGAAGTCAATGACTAGCTTAATCTAAGTCACATGACTCCAGGTACACACACTATCCAATCTACACACACACACACACACACACACACACACACACACACACACACACACACACCCACACAGTAGCATAAACACACAGAACTAATCACAGTGTTGTCAAACTTGATTGACGGATGGCAAATCAAATATTGCGGCAGCGGGATTTTTCAGCCAATAGGTGAGAAGCTGCATGATGACAGCATTTCACTGAAACCAAGGACTGTATACTATGTAAAATATTCTTTCACTGATATCTGTTCCCACATGCATTACATAAATGAAATAAGGCCTACAGAAAAGTAATAAATATAAAGCAAGTATTTTAGTTGTTTTCAACAACGCATTTTAATTAAAACAATTATTTAACTTGATTTTGAAGATGTTAACTTATAATATATTGTTATGTAGATTGATATTTTACACAGATATAAACACAGAATAAGCTTAACAGGTGGCACAAAAAAAGGTACAAATATATATATTACTATGTGGTCAAAGCTTTGACCTATAAACCACTTCCTGTGCAGAGACCCTGAAACCATGACAACGCTAAGAGGTGTTCCTTTGCCCTTATATGGGCGTGCATACCGCCCGTCACGCCCAATTACAGTGGAGTCGGATGACATTAACTGATCAATACCAGACTGATATGCAATACCATTATCAGCTCCAGGAACAACCGTGCAATTATGGGATGTCATCCCCATGACAACAGGGGTTTGCCGGGTATCCTTTGTTTCCGATTGATCGGTGCTTGACTTACTTACAGTAGACGGTCAATGAGGTTAATGGATAACGATTTCCACACACACACACACACACACACACACACACACACACACACACACACACACACACACACACACACACACACATCATTATGAGAGTTGTCATCTGTGTGTTTGCATTGAACATAAATGCTTTTCTCATTGCAGATATAACTCCATCAATAATTAATAAGATAAAGGTCTGATTTAAGTGCTGATAAAGATACAACTGAGAGGCAGATCCTTCAATGGTTTGATTGAGGCAGGAAACAAGTCAATTATCTTTAAAAAGTATACGTAACGGTCAACTGTAAAGCTTCAAATCCACATCCACACATCCATTCTTTGGACGGCGGATAAACCTTGATATTACCTCTTGAATAAATGAGCAGCTGAAATGTTTAAATCAGGGTCCTGATGAAATATTCCACGACCTTCCCTCAGTGAGTTAAGAGCACTTCCATCACCTTAAAAAAGGTTATCCCTAAGGGCTTTGCTAATGTTGCTTTTTACCTTGAAGACATCTCGTTTTTATTATGGATCAGATTTATTTAAAAGCTTTCAATACAAGCTGAAAACCAACATATATGGTACAAGACAAATCGGATATTATGTGACACTTCTAAGCTAATGCTGTTTAACGGATAGAAGCACAGCAGAGGCTTTAACACCACCTACACACACACTCACACTCTTTCACTCCATCGCTTCCTACCTTTGCCCTTATTTGTCCCGAGGTCGACACTTTGCGGATCAACTTGTGCGACGTCTCCTCTTGTTCCCCGTCGCTGTCGGATGACTCTTCTCCAGCTTCTCCAGCCTGGCAGACGAATGGAAGAATTGATTAATAAATGTGACAGATTGTATTAGTCGACCATTTCTGGAGCTAATTCAAGCACTCGTGTAATACATGTCGAGTTCTTTACCACCAAGGAGTCTTGTGAGAGGACTTGCTGCATGTCGACTGCATTTCATTTGCTTTTTGATATATTCTGTAGCTACCAAGTGAACGGTACTGTTTACTACTTTCAAGCTGCCTTTTAAAACACTATCATGAAATAGCTTAATAGCTCCAAAAGCAAAATTGTGCCTCGATATCTGGACTTCTGGGAGAGTTAATACAACTAGTTCAAAGCAGTAGAGTCTTTAAAGGCTAGTACTTTTTTATTATATTTGTCATGTTTGCATATTTCTTTCTCTTAGAGTTCTGTAACATGAAGATTTAAAAAGCCGTTCCTCAGATGAACAACAAATACATTTGGTTCACCGTTAAATAGTTCTTATTATTTGTGTATTTCTCCTTTTTTCTGTGTTTATAGGAAATAATGGGATCTACTTTACGTCTAACTTTAAAATCAGACAATGCCACCACGCTTTAGGTCTGCATATTTCCCCAAAATGATACCAAGGACATGACCTCTGTGTCCTCAGTGGAAGTCAAATCCCTATTTTAGACTTTTCCATGTCGTCTCAGACAGTTTGCACCTGTTGTTAATCTCATAAATCACACTGGATAGGAAAATAAGACGAGTGGAAACATTCAACCACTTAAAATGATTGACCGACACAAATGTCCTCGCTTGGTGTTTGACCTTGACTTGTTCACTCTGACGCTCATAGTGTGAACGTGTGGCTGACGTTTGGGTCCATCACTTCCTATGCTGAGGAGATTTTAATCTGATAGTAACTGAGACATGTTTAGATGACCGATGTTGAGATGTGGCTCAAGATAAGGATGTTTTTTTGTATTTCAAATGAGACTTGTTTCAAAATGTCTAAAGATGTTTTTACAGCTGAAATAAAGGGCTTTAAAGGTCCCATGTCATGGCCATTTCCACTGATCATAATTCCATTGTTGAGGTCTACTAGAATAGATTTATATTGTGCAATTTTCCAAAATAACATTGGTTTCTCAAACAGCATCTCTGTAAACTACGTGTATTCACTGAATTTCACTCTCTGCCTTTAACGGCTCGTTGTAGCTCCAATAGCTCCAGCCCCCGCCCTCCCTGTGAGCACAGTGTGCTCTGATTGGTCGGTACGTTGTGTATCGCTGTTGTTTCCTTGTTTAGCGATACACAGCGAAACACAGCCAAACTCACCCTGAGCACACACAAAGTCACAGCCGAAGTAAAAACAATAAGTGTGGCTTGATATTGAGTAAGAAAAAGGTTGATAAACGCTGTGAGAATGGGTCTGCAGAGAGAATTTCGCCGCGATCCCAACTGTCTGTTATCAGCCTGCAGCCAGGGAGGAGAGATCAGCAGAGCTGCATGCACTGAGTGTGTGTGTGAGGAAGTCCGTGGATTGGTTCATTTGGACCAATCAGCCTGGTCATAGCTCTGGGCGTGGCTACTGGGTATCCCTACGTAGCGATACCCAGGAAGTAAATGAGAAATCTCCAACGAGGTGTTCTGGGGCAGCATAGACAGGTCTTTTCTGTGTTAGAGTTTTACTCCCTACAGGGTGTACTTTGAGGGTTTTGGACTCTGCAGACCGTTTACATGCAGAAAAACCTTCATAACACACAAGGGGACGATGTGTATGAACATGCAGGCGTGGGATTGAAAAACCAGTATCACACAGCTGTAGGCAAGAAATCAAAAGGAAAACATTGACAAGTTGGGTCATATGTTTGGAGTGTTTGGATTTCCAATGGTGAGAAATTACCCAAAACAGTTAGAAATATTGTAACTGTAGGTTTTTTTAACGCTGCAAACACCACAAAACCGCAAATGCATCAAGCAAAAAGCTTTTTTTTTTTTATCTAGTTCTTCAGTTTCTTGGAAAGGAAATGTGGTGCCATAGAGTGCCCACCGTCTCTGTATTTAGCAGTGAAACCTGTGCCTATTATGTGCAACAAAAAAACTAAATCTGTGGTGTTTTTTAAGAGAGAATTGGGACACCTTCCCCAGCTGCAGCCCTACTTAGCATGGTGGCTTTTTTTTAATCAAGCAGGTCAAATTAAGCTGTCAAAAAAACTACACAAACTGTGAATTTAATAGGCAATAGTTCTTCAGCTTCTTGGAAAGGAAATGTGGCGCCATAGAGTGCCCACCATTACTATAAACAAGAGTGAAACCTGTGCCTATTATGTGCACAAATAAAGTGACACTTTCCCCACCTACTATGCATGTTGATTTAAGCTTTAAAATAGACTTACAATGTGGGTCCTCTCAGAGTCTTGTGGCGACCCCAGCGGCTCGCCGGGCTCCGCCACGTACAGGACGTTTGGGTTCAGTTTGGACGCCATGACAGGCTCACAGTCAGGGAGGGAAGATAAAAGATGGAGGAAGAGGACAGAGAGGGAGAGAAGACAAACGTGTGAAAGAAAAGTTTGCCAGGTTCAGTGTAGGAGGAAGGAGAGACTGGAGCTTGGCTAAGGAGAGGAAGAGGGTGACGAATGGGACGCTGCCGATCCCTCTTGTCCACGGCCAAATCTGGAAAAGCAGAATTCCTTTATTAGTCTTAGGGGAAATGTACATTGTTACAGCAAAGAGACATTGATGTGGTGTCAAGCGAAAGATGGCTGACGCACTTGTTTCGCTGACTTTTGGTCTTGTTTGTACTTTTTTATTTACTTCAAACGTCCAGTTGTCTTGTGCAATCTAGTCTTATCATGCATCACATCATTTACTCTTATCCTGGTTTAGGTTTTTTTTTTTTTATGTACGTCAGCTTATATTTTAAAATGTTCTTACATGCTAGTTTTTATCTCATATGTTTGTTTGTTTGTTTGTATCGTTATTTTTATATTTACTTGTGGAGAGCTGAGCGTAAGACTTTCATTATACAGTGCTGCCTGTTTTACTGTATGACAATACAATTATAATTTTTATTAATAACGATAGGGAAAAAATGTAAGTGGCATGCACACATATTCAAAAATCTGACGCTGACGGTGTAAAATACTATAATAACTAGTACATAAGTATATATTTGTATATTGCACAGTGTATGTGTTGCGTAGTGCAAAGCGAATAAGCAGCTGGTAATATCATTTTTATGAGGGGTGGAGGAATGGAGGAATTAATTATTGATTGGAAGAAAAAAGCTCAAAGGAGAGGGATTGGCAGCTGAAAAGTTTAGGAAAACTCCCATCAAAAACATCGACTACTATAATTAATGTCTCCTCTTCCTCCACCATTGCACTTTTTCAGTTCAGTTCACATGGCACGGCCACTTCTCTTTCTCGTTTCCTCTTTGCTTCAGCGTGCATTTGTGAGAAAACACTTTGTGGTTTGACAGTTCAGCCCTGAGCGCTTTTAAATAGAGCCGTTGTGATGCAGATCAGCCCTTAAGGCCAGTGGCACAAAAACCATGGTTATGATGATGATGATGATGATGATGGTGATGATGATGGTGGTGAAGATTAATGGGAAACATGTTGGTGACAAGGGAAAAATACAGGAAGAAGGATGATGGTGATGATGACGATCATATGGCTCATAACAGGAAGACTACCCTGCATACAGTAACAGCAGACACATTGCACATCATACAAATTAAAAAGTGAATATATGTGGGTTGTGTGTGTGTGTGTGTGTGTGTGTGTGTGTGTGTGTGTGTGTGTGTGTGTGTGTGTGTGTGTGTGTGCGCGTGGGGGCGGGAGTGCACGTGCGTGTTCCCTTGATTACGATGTGGACACGTTATTCAAAAACCTGTCTGCATCTCACTTCACTGCCGCCCCCGTTGACACCAAACTTGTTGTTAAAAAGCAGAATACAAACATGCACAGGTAGGCGTTTGCAGGTCTTAACAAACACATGAAAATAACACTGAAGAGAGAAAGCGATGCACAACAGGCTGCTTCTTCTTCTTCCTCCAGCTTCATCATTCATTCCGTCCACATAGCCGTTTACTGTACGGCGGCGAAACAAATGTCAATACCCCCAGTTTAAGTAGTGCACATCCAGCTGTCACTACCGCGAAAACATCCAGCAGAGACCCGGACGGCCACCGTTACCGCTCGGCCACCTCCTCTGCACTAACACCCCTCTCATGAGTCGATCAAATGTGGATGTTATTTACCTTTTTTACGCGGTAATTTCGTCCTCCTTGTCCTCCATCAAGCTGCGGCGTCTCTGGCTCCTGTTGCCCGGCCCTAGTGGCTCTTCATCCGGCGTCTGGGTCTCTCGGTCTCTCGGTCTCGCGGTCAGCAGCGCGCGGGTCTCTCGCGTGGAGCTCGCCTTGCAGAAAGAGACGCGGTCACACGCATAGCGCCAGAGCCGATCTGAATCAGGTAGGAAGAGAAGGGAGGTGGGGGGGAGGTGGAGGAGGGAGAAGGGGGCGAGCAGAGAGAGAGAGAGAGAGACAGAAAAAGAGAGAAAGAGCGAGAGAGGGAGGGAGAAAGAGCGAGAGAGATTTTGAAAGCCGCCGTGTTGAGTCGCTGCTGTTCCTGAGGTTAAACGGAGAGCAAATAACGCGCACACGCACGCATGCGCACTGGACAGAGCTCTTAATAAACAAAGAAACATCAATTAACAACATCAGAGTTAAAAGTCAACTTTATTGTCAATCGTTCAGTAGGCCTATGTGTAGAGACAGAGAGATCGAAATACCGTTTACCACATCCCGGATATAAAAACAAATACAAATACAGTATGTGTACAAATATGTATACCTATATACAGTACACAAAATCAAAGACACATTTTTACATGTGACTTAAATATATAATTTCCTCAAATTAAGTCTGAGAACTTGAAAGCATTAGAGGTTTTGCAGTTATACAGAGTATTGATTCGAAATGTTAAACTAATTTAATCATTATCAGGTGTCTTTTTAATAACTCTAGACAGTTGTCTACAAGTGTCTACAACCTCTAAGAAGTGCACATATGCACACAAATATGCTTTCATTATTTGTGAAGCTAACATGGAAATAGGACTGAATTCAAACTATTTATTTAGTGTTTACTAGTGTTTCTTTCTTGTCTTTGGACAGAAAGTGGTCTGTGGATTCACTGGATTTAGGCTAATTGCACAAGAAACTCTAAGCCAAACAGAACTGCTGCCTCAAAATTGGATTTACAAGCTTTAAATAGCAACTCTGGGTCAACTTATAAGAGGTTATTGAGTTTATGATGATAACACCCAATGGATTGTACTATATCTTGTAACATATTGTGTACTTCAGCCCTCCTAAAATAGCACAAACGAGATTTGTCTAAAGGCCACAAACTCTTTTGAATGAATAAAATAGCTTGTGGGCCACACAGGCGAGAACATGCATTCAAATCTGAATGCTTTTTATAGTCTGGTTTTGCATGTGAAGGACACACAGTGCAGCATTCCTCCTGCAGGAATATGCATTTCAGACTTCTGTCCGGACATGCTCTCCAAGTTGTTCCTCCACTCACCAATCTGTACTCTGCGCTCGCTCAGATGTTGACCCGCAGACCTGATCTGTGCTCAGATTTCAGCTCGCTCAATAGAGTTGTTGTTAAGGAAAGTCCACACCTAACAGAGAGACAGAGCTCCATTAGAGAGTGGGAGAGAGAGAGACATCCACATTAATAAGGGAGAAGGGCGGAGAGAGTGACACAGATAAGGGCAGACAACACACACACACACACACACACACACACACACACACACACACACACCTACTGGATTCCCCCCTCCGATCAGGTGATAGTGTTACTGTATTCGGCTCTTTTCCACTGGTTGCCCATGACAACGTTGAAGGAAGGAAGG